ACATATAAAGAATATGCACAATTTAAATGAAGATGCATTCACGAACATATTCAATATCAACAACACCCAAGGTCCACCAACAAGAGTGCCTAGGAAACAATATATAACAAAAACCACTGCATATCCCCGACATTGAAAATACACTGAATTACGTTTAAAATCCAAACACAGCCTACTGAACGGATAAATTCTCAATGAAAAAAATATTACGGACACAAAAACACAACAATCCTAATAAAACAAGCTAAAATCACCCACAAGAACAAATGGTAACAAAAAATTTTACTTCCCACGTCATAACTATGGCAGTCCCCACATTTATATATACTAGAAGTACGCCTTAAATATTGCTCAAACTCTTTTTAATTCTGAGCCATCACAAATTAAATAGCGATAACAAACTTGGAATGGGGCGAACAACGTGATCCCTTCCGCAACATATTTTACCAAACCACGGGACATCAAAAGAACACAAGGCCCGAGCTACATGAGAGTGTTTGCAACTATCAAAAACATTGCTGACAAAGTATAAGAAAAATATGATGTCATTTCTAATCTCCTAGAAGGGAACTAATACATTTAGCAGTACAGAAACAAACCTGTGAACATAACCATTCAACCAGTCCTTTCAAAACATCATCTATAGTTATCATCTTCTTCTTTGAACCTAATGCCACATGAACGATGGCATTATCCTAAGTTTTAGGTCTTCCACTGGAAATGCATAAACAAGAATGGTATGTAAGCCAAATCTAAAACCAAGTGTTACTAATAAGATATGAGTAGAGAAGCATACCTCACTATCTAAGAAAGTATTTTACCGCTCTTCTCTTGTATAAAACAATTACATTCAGAGAGCAATCTACAAAGTAAAAAAAGATGATCATGCAGTTGTTATTATATGAAGCAACCCTCTATCCAAGTTGTATGACTCAGGCATTGGAATAAGTCATAGGTTGTCCTTAAAAGAGGGAGGACCTATGTATAAAAAGGTAAATCTAGCAATCGCCAATAAGTTATATTTCATTAAATCTGAAGCACACAAACTATCTATGTAATAATAATAAAAGCAAGAAAAGTGCGTACCAGTAGGTATAGATAGAGGAGATGACCTCATATTCCTTGTCTTCAAAATCCCTTTATATATACACTGACTATTATTGATTTGTTTAAAGCCAAGATTTGCATAAATGATTACAAGACTATTAGGAGATAGGAAATAGCTACCCAAACTTATAAGGCGATTACGGATTTGGAAAAAATGAAAATGGAAACAATGTGAATTTTGTCAGACACAGGGTACTGAATATTTCTTCATAGTGTTAAATATTTTTTAACTTTTATTTGTCCATCATTTGGAAAGTGTTAAATCGCTTTTCAAAATCTATTATTTAATAATTTATTTATTATTTATTGATTAATTTTATATAGATATTATTATTATTATTATTTATAATTATAATATTAATTTTTTGTTACGATTTAAAATATGTAACAAATATATATAATCACATCTCGTCATATTTATAGTTGTTATGGATAAACTATCGAAACAAATAAAAAAAAAAAAATTGACCAACACAAACTTTTTTTGTTCCGACAAAAAGTATAACAAAAACCACTTTTTGTGACGGAATTAGTATAACGGATTTACTTTCGCTAGAAAAAAATAATTTTTTTGCAGTGATACTCTCGCTAGAAAAAAATAATTTTTTTGCAGTGATACTCTCGCTAGAAAAAAATAATTTTTTTGCAGTGATACTCTCATATAAAATACATTGTAATTATAAACAAACAACAAAAGACGTGCGTGTGCTTATTTGGAAAATCATCAAGCCCTCCCATCCAAATTAATATTCTGGTAAAGATCTAAACACCTGCTAGTGGTATGGGCAAGTAATAATTAATAATTAACAACACAGACTCTTTGAAATATGAGCAAGTAATACACTAATATAAATTAAATTTATATTTATTGATTGATTATATAATAATTAATAATGTAAATTTTTTTTAAATAATTATACTGATTAGTCTATCCTAACTATTTCTGGGACCCTTTCTTTACTTATATTTTCCATTATATCTTCGTACAAATTATTAACAACTTTTCAAATTGTACAGTATTATCTCTATCGTAATTAATTAATTAATTTTATTATTTTAATTTGTCTTAAATCAATTTATTTATTTTTTAGTAATTAAGGTCTCTACCTAAAATTAAAAAATTTCTTATATTTTACATATTATTACAACAATATCATCAATTTACACATAAAATACTCTCTTCATCCCACCATATACATCCAGTTTATAGAAGTTTAAATAAAGTATAATTAATAATTAGTTAAGAAATATATTGGTAAAATAATTATGATATAATATAAATAATTATAAATTAAGATTAAAATAACTCATTAATTTAATTAAAATTTAAAAAAATACTATTAATTATAAAATTTTAAATGTAATTAAAATATATAATCATTTTTTTTTTCTAAAAAGAAAGCAAATAATGTGAAACATACGAAAATAGAAATAGTGGACAAATAAGTAGAATAGATGGAGCACTATTAATATTCTAGATGTGTGTTTATTTTGTGGAATTGGATTATAATATATAGTATTATTTCAATGGATTATATACTCACATGATAAAATAATGCAACGTTTATTTTAGTGTATTATTGTATAAAATTATTAATTTTTCTAAAATACCTTTAATTATATGATAAAATTAATACTAAATTTTCTATTAATAAAAGATAAAATAGGCTTTTTAACATCAATACTATTTGAGTATGTTTACTTTGAAGAATAATATTATAATTGCTGGATTGTTTCAATTAGATTATATAATAATAATAAGATTAATTAATATGATGTTTACTTTGTTTGATTAAATATAGAGTAACATAAACTTTAGTATTGTTATTACTTGATAAATTAATCCTACCCATCTAAGTAAGATTAATAATCATATATTAGCATATTAGTATAGTGGACTTTAATTAATACGGAATTTTAATCTATTATAGTAAAAATAAGATTATGTTTAATAAAATAATATTATTCACTATAACCATATAAAAAGTAAATATGAGTACAATTTTTCATATACCATATATTGTATTATATACATATAAAATATTATTATTCAAAAACCTAAGTATAAAAATGAAAGGATAGATACATACAGCACACATGACAGCACACATGATGACGCAGCTCAAGTAATTAAAATATACTAATCGAAAATTAAAAATTAAATTCAAATAAAAAACTAAGTAAAAAAAGAAGATGTTACCGGTGTCCGATTCGTCAATCGATCGGATGTGAACCCAAGCGTTGCCTAGACCAACACCTCTAAACTAATGGAGACTTGAACAATTTAGCTAGAAACTCCGGTCAGTTTCGGAAGCCACGAACCCAAGAAATCAACCCAAGAACCCGATTTGAGAATGATACGCGTATGCAAAGGTAACCCTTGTGTGTATAATTTTCAAGGTGTCCAACAAGTGAAGCCAAGTGCCTTAGTTATAGGGGAGGCTAGCTTGGCAAAAAACTCTACAACCAATGTAGGAAAAAAAATATATTATTTATATCTCACTAATAAGTAAATAAGAGATGTCCAATTAATTAGATTGACGGGACCCACTTTATTAAATAAAATAAAACACCTCTTATCCCACATGGGTAATGATGTGACTAGAAACTCTCATGGGTGTTATAAATTGTGATCTTCAAGGGTGGATGCACTCCAATGTTGACAACGCTCTTCCCATTGGTCTCCATGCTTCAACTTTATGCATGTTTTCCTCTTCCAAATGTAGAATTAATGCCATAATATTACTTTGAAACTTCTTGGCACGGTTTCGAGTAATCGGACGTGGTGGTAGTGTAGGTTCATCGTCGCTTTTGACGACCTCGTCATCCCCCCCTTCTTGAAAAATTGAGTCCCCCATTTTCATAGCCTGTTCATCTCCTACATCAAAAGGACTTAAGTCAGCAACGTTGAATGTGCTATGAACTTGGTACTCACCCGATAGCTCAATACGATAGGCATTGTCATTGATGCGTTCCACAACTTGGAATGGCCCGTCTCCTCTTGGGCTCAGCTTAGACTTCCGTTTCTCGGGAAATCTACTTTTTCTCAAGTGCAACCACACCCAATCGCCTGAATAGAACACTACATGCTTTCGATCTTTGTTAGCACTTTTAGCATACCGAGCGTTTGATTTTGCAATGTTATCCCGAACCTTTGAATGCATCTCCTTCACAAATTCAGCCCATTTCCTGCCATCACTATTAAAATACTCATTTCTAGGCAATGGTAACATATCCAAAGGTGTTAGAGGATTAAAGCCATAAACAACCTCAAAAGGAAAAACATGTGTGTCGATGAATGAAACGTACGATTATATGCAAATTCAGCGTGAGGCAAACATTCTTCCCAACTTTTGCAATTCTTTTTTATCAAGATACGAAGTAGGTTCCCTAAGGTTCTATTCACTGTTTCAGTTTGACCATCCGTTTGGGGATGATGAGATGTAGAAAATAGCAACTTAGTTCCCAATTTAGCCCAAAGTGTCTTCCAAAAATAACTAAGAAACTTTGTATCCCTGTCCGACACAATTTTCTTAGGGACACCATGCAATTTTAAAACATTATGAAAGAATAGATCTGCAACATGAGATGCATCATTGGTTTTCTTACATGCAATGAAGTGTGCCATTTTTAAAATCTATCAACCACGACAAAAATCGAATCATTTCCTCTCTTAGACCTAGGCAATCCTATAACAAAATCCATTGAAATATCAGTCCATGGTGCTTCTGGAATAGGTAAGGGTGTGTATAGACCGTGTGGTTGTGCATGTGACTTTGCAATCTTACAAACAACACATTTATTCACATAAGACTCCACATCATGCTTCATTTTAGGCCAACAATAGTGTTCATGCAATGCACCAAATGTCTTATCACGCCCAAAGTGACCCATTAATCATCATGTGGCTCAACCATTAACACATCACGAAGTGAACACCTAGGTACACACAAACGATTCACACGAAACAAATACCCATCATGCAAATAATAATCACCAAAGCCATGCGTAGCAAATTTTCCAAAGATATCAGAAAAATCAACATCATTCACATAAATATCTTTTATGAATGCAAATCCCATAAGCTTAGATTCTAACAAGGTTAGCAACCCGTACCTTCTTGATAGCGCATCAGCTACAACATTTTCCTTTCCTTTCTTGTACTGAATCGAGTAAGGGAATGTGTCCACGAATGCTACCCATCTTGCATGCCACTTCCTAAGCTTTTGTTGACTCTTTAAATGCTTTAATGATTCATGGTCAGTGTGAACATTAAATTCTTGTGATCGCAAATAGTGCTGCCATGTTTGAAGTGCACCAACCAACGAGTACAATTCTCGGTCATACGTCGAATAGTTGAGGGCAGCCCCACTCAGCGTCTCACTGAAGTACACAATCGGCTTCTTTCCTTGCATCAAAACAGCTCCAATTCCAATTCCTGAGGCATCACATTCCAATTCAAATGGCTTAGTAAAATCCGGTATAGCTAAAATAGGAGCATTAGTAAGTTTTCTCTTAAGCAAACCGAAAGATGCTTTTTCAGAAACTCCCCAATCAAAGTGTTTATCTTTCTTTATAAGCTCAGTCAGTGGTGCTGCAATGGAGCTAAAATCTCGCACAAAGCGACGGTAAAAGCTTGCTAGTCCAAGGAAACTACGAACTTCCTTGATCGTTTTAGGTGTTGGCCAATCCCGAATAGCTTGTGTTTTAGCTTCATCCACACTTATCCCTTCAGCACCTACAACAAAACCAAGAAAAATACATTTTTCGACACAAAAGTCGCACTTCTTCGGGTTAGCATAAAGCTTTTCAGCTCTTAACACTTCCAAAACACTACGAATATGCTCTACATGTTCTTCCATTGATTTACTATAAATGAGAATATCATCAAAGTAAACCACAACAAACTTCCCTATGAAAGTACGTAATACATGATTTATTAACCGCATAAACGTACTTGGAGCATTCGTAAGGCCAGAAGGCATGACTAACCACTCATATAGGCCGAATGTAGTTTTAAATGCAGTTTTCCATTCGTCACCTTCCCTCATTCTAATCTGTTGATATCCACTTTTCAAATTAATTTTAGAGAAGTATTTTGACCCATGCAATTCATCTAGCATATCATCTAAACGAGGGATGGGGTGTCGATACTTTACCGTGATGGCATTTACGGCTCGACAATCGATGCACACCCTCCATCCACCATCCTTCTTTGGGACAAGAAGAGCCGGTACAACACAAGGGCTTAGGCTTTTGCGAATCCAGCCTTTGTCAAGCCACTCATCCACTTACTTACGTATTTCCTTGACTTCCTCTGGACTTGCCTTGTAAGCTGGACGATTTGGAATTGATGCACCCGGAATGAGATCCACCTGGTGCTCAATGTCCCGAATAGGTGGTAATCCTCCGGTTACTTCATCAGGAAACACATCTTGATATTCCAGCAAAAGAGAAGCAACATTGGAAGGGAGTTTCATTAGCTCTTGCTTAGACAAATAAACATGTTTAATCAAAAGTAAATAAGAACTTCCCTCATGAACTTTCAAATTTTTTGCCTCTCTCAAGCTCACAAGTATTTTTCTTTCAAACTCACTCTTACGTTGTTCACTCACTTGCTCTCTTTTGTCACTTTTATTTTTTTCGCTCTCATTTTTCTCACTCCCATGCTCACTTTTTTTACTCTTATTTTTTTCACTCTTTTTTCTTTCTCTCTTTTCTTTGGCTTCTTCCAAAAATTGACGATGCATGTAGAGTTGGTCCTCATGGACATACATTGGAGACAACGGCTTCAAACATATTTTTCTACTCCCAAACTCAAATGAATATCTATTCAAATATCCATCATGATGAGCCTTTCTATCAAACTGTCATGGCCTTCCAAGTAATACGTGACAAGCTTGCATCGGTAGCACATCACAGACGACTTCATCCTCATAATTTTTGATCTTGATAGGAACCGTCACCTGCTTGTTCAACTCTCCGCAATTGCTAACCCACTGCAATTTGAATGGTTTGGGGGGGTGTTGTTAGCAAATTCAATTTTCGAACAGCAAGTTTACTTACAATATTTGTGCAACTCCCATCAATAATGAAGCTACACACTTTGCCTCCAATTATGCAACAAGTTTGAAAGAGATTTTCTCGTTGTTCCTCATCAAAGGTCCTTGACATAGTGCTTAAAGCTCGTAAGGTAACCAAACTCAAACCAACACCAGAATCAGACTCATCATCTGTGTTATTTTCCTCATTTGCTCTTTGATCAACCCCCTCCTCATTTTCAGATTCCGTTTTGTATTCCCCAAACTTATTGAATATCATCGTTTTTTTGTTTGGGCATTGACTTGCAATGTGGCCTAGACCTTGACACTTGAAACAAATAATATCTCGATTCCTCGGCTTCTCTGGATCAGCTCCAACATGTTTGTTCCATGGCGTGTCATCCTTGATAACACCTTTTCTTTTACCGAACCCTTGGGCCACTTGGGTTTTGTCATCCTTCTTGGTATAATTTGCTGTGAAGGGCTTCGTACCAAATGTTTTCTGTTTGCCCTTACGCTTCAATTGTTTCTCAATTGTAATAGCACGTTCCACCAATTTATCAATATCATCAAAACGAGACAATCCCACTTTGTCAGCAATGTCTCGATTCAGCCCAGTCAAGATTCTTGCTACCGTGGCTTGTTGACTCTCTCGAACATCAGCCAGCATTAAAGTCACCTCCAAATCCTTCTAGAACTCATCGACTGTCCTATTTCCTTGCTTCATCGATTGTAGTCGAACATGCAATTCTTGCGTATACGAACTCGTCACAAATTTAGCTCGCATGACACGTGTCAACTCCTCCCATATTTGAATCATCGGTGCTCCACCTCGCGTTTGATTGAGGCAAATATTGTCCCACCAATGAATGGCATAATCTTTGAACTCGGAGACCACAGCTCGGACTTTTTGTGGACCATCCAAATCTTGAAAATCAAAGATCAGCTCAATCTTCTGCTCCCAATCAAGATATGCTTCTGAATCATATTTCCCGTAGAAAGCTGGGATTTGGAATTTCATAGAGCGAGTTGGATCATTGTCATCTCTCCTATGTGCCCCTCGTCGTGCTCGAAGGGGAACATTGCTCTCTACTTCTCCATCATACTCAGTCATGTCACGATCATCTTCGAGAAGATCACGAACTAGTTCATGCCTTGGAGCGTTCCTGGGAGGTCGTCGTCCTAAAGGTGGAATGTCATTGTATGGACGTGGAAGGGCTGCATTCCCTTCTACCCTCGATGTTTCCAACTTATTCATTCGGGCATAGAGTCCCTCAACCTCATGTCGAAGTACCCTTTGTACTTCCACCATCATATCTTTCACGAACATTTTGGGGTCAAAGCTTGATGCGGATGCCATATCATGTTCCTCGTCACTTCTCTCACCTGTCATAGAAAAATATAGTGGGAATATATATATATATAGATGGTTAGATAAATGATTTCCTCACCCTCTCGTGTATACCCACGTAATGTACATCTCCGTCTTACACACGCGCTCAAATTTCACGGTCCTTGGTAAGCCCCTCGAGTTATAGCCAACTAAACTTCACGGAATATAACCAATACAAATTGACGAGTGTACCCCAAGAAGCCAAACTCAACAATAGCAACAAACCAACAATGAAAGCACAACCGCAAGAAAACCGATATCCATAAATAAACAAGTGGATACAATATTCAAAATCACAATATATTTCAAAAAGGACTTTTCTTTCTGTTTTTTTTTTAATAATTTTTTTCTACAATATTTTTTATTTTTTTGCCCAACAATGATAATGCTACTACAAAAATTTAAAAGATCTTAACATAATTTAATAATATGAAATAAAGACTACTAATACTACCGGAATAAGAATTCCGATAAAAACGGGCTCTGATACCAAATTGATGACGCAGCCTAAGTAACTAAACTATACTAACCGAAACTTAAAAACTAAATTCAAATAAAAAACTAAGTAAAAAAAAAAGATATTACCGGTGTCCGATTTGTCAATCGATTGGATGTGAACCCAAGCATTGCCTAGACCCAACACCTCTAAACCAATGGAGACTCGATCGATTTGGCTAGAAACTCCGGTCGGTTTCGAAAGCCACGAACCCAAGGAATCAACCCAATGACCCGATTTGAGAATGATACGCGTATGGAAGGGTAACCCTCGCTCACACATTAATTCCAATATAATGGAATAAAGAGAAAAACTTTAATTGATATAATTTTCAAGGTGTCCAACAAGTGAAGTCAAGTACCTTATTTATAGGGGAAGCTAGCTTGACAAAAGACTCTACAACCAATGTGGGACAAAAATATATATTATTTATATCCCACTAATAAGTAAATAAGATATGTCCAATTAATTAGATTGACGGGACCCACTTTATTAAATAAAATAAAACACCTCTTATCCCACATGGGTAATGACGTGAGTAGAAATTCCCATGGGTGTTATAAATTGTGGTCTTCAAGGGTGGATGCACTCCAATGTTGACAACGCTCTTCCCATTAACCTCCATGCTTCAACTTTATGCATATTCTCATCTTCCAAGTATAGAATTAATGTCATAATATTAGTTTGAAACTTTTTGGCACAATTTCCAGTAACCGGACCTGGTGGTAGTATAGGTTCATCGTCGCTTTTGACGACCTTGTCACATGAAGTATTATACATATACATGTGTTTATTTACATTTCAAACTTCAAATTTTTATTATTTAGATTTTGCGTTTTTTAAAAAAAGAAATATTTTATCTCTCACTAAATATTTTATCATACATTATTTTAATATACAAACCTAATAAAAAAATTTCAAATCCCATCGAAAGAAATGCACGCAAATAAAAAATTTTGAGACTAATAAAAAATTAAATATTTGATGTCATATATTTTTTTAGTTACTATTTATGAATAATGCTAACTTTCAAAAATATTTAAACAATAGTATATTTGTACTGAAAGTAATACAAATTGAATACTAATAATTTTGATTAAAAAAAAAGAAAGACAAAAATTACCTATGCCATAGTTTCAACAATAATTATATAATGTTAATAGTAATATATTAATTATAGCAATTAATATTATAATAATTATTATATTTTTTATTTAATTGTAATAATTAAAAATTTATTCAAATAATATTTTAAAATTAAAATTTTAGTTATATTTTATGTAAAATATATTATTAATAATTATTTTTATTTAAAAATATTAAAATAAAAATATCAAAATTCTCTAAAAATTATTTAGTTAATATATAATCTCTACATTAACAATTACTTAATAATAATTATATAGTTTTTATATAAATATATATGTATAATAGAATATACATTTGTAAAATAAATTAAAATATTTTTAAACTAAAATAAATAAATAATTGTTATATAGTATTAGACAATAGTTTTAATAATATTATCACTTCTTTTAATTGTCAAAATATTTATTAATTGTATTAGTTATAATATTATTAAGTATGTTCATTATAATTTGATTAGATGTGAGTATTTAATTTAAATTTAATTTATTAGAAAAATAATAAAAAAAAGAGCAAAAAGAAAATAGTTACGCGGCTTTATTGATGTTTTTTGTATATAGATAATAATAAAAATTATAAAATTAAATGAATTATTTTGTTATCTTTTAAAATGTATTAATTATAATTTTATTAATTATGATATATTTAATAATATTTAATACATATTTATTTTATTTAAAAAATCAGAAAAAATAAAAAAAAAGATTTGATGGGATAAACCTCACACGTCGATCTCTTTTATACATAATAATAATAATAACAATAACAATAATAATAAATCGGTTATTTAAGGGGAAGAAGAATTATTAAAAAAATTAAAATTTCAAAACTTTTAAAACTTGTATCTAAATGGAGCCAGACTTCTCAAATTAAATAAAATCGAACTTTTCCCATTGATATATTTACTTTTTTAAGATTAAAACCAATTAGAATGAAAAGAAAATAATTTAGGGTGCGTTTGGTTGGAAGTTGAAATTTGAGTTGGGTTGAGTTGTTGGGTTGAGTTGTTGGGTTGGATTTGAAATTTTTTTGAATGAGATGTTTGAGTTGGTGTTTGGTTGTAAGGTTTTTATAATAATGATGCAATTATTGATAATCAGATAGTTAAAGTAAAATGTATTGATTGATGTGATATTTTGAATAAAAAATAATAAATAAATTTAATTATTATAATTATATTTATTATTCTCCACAGATAAATTTTTATATTTTATGTATAATACACATACATATATTTAAATATTGTTAATGTAAAAAAAATTATATTCAAACGAAATGAATTTTATCTTTTCAACAGGATGTATCCAAAATTTTTGGTTGCATTTTTATAAATATAATATTATTTACAGAATAGAATATTGTTTATTTCTACAAATGCAATTATCAATTTACAAAATATTTATGTAGATTATTTTTTACATTTATAAAATAATTTTACAATAAGATAGTACCTATTGTACATAAGATCAAATTAGATCAAGCACAAAACGTAAGATGCTAATATTGTTCATACAAAATAAATTTAAGAGTCAAATACTACAACATATGGTACACAGGCCGAAACTAAAAACATCAAGCAACCAAAAATACATATATGCACTCCAAACAGTACATCCCGACATCAATCCACATGACGTCTCTTCCACATATTGTGTGCCATCGTATCTCTAAATTCCGAGTGAGCTTCAATGTCCTCTCCATTCGGATGAGGAGTGGGAAGATTATGAATATTCGAAGAGTCAGAATTACCTTCCATAACAAAATCCTCCTCAGGCACGTAAAACTCATCTATATCTTCATTGTTGCGCAATATGATATTGTGAATGGTTGCACATGAAAAAACTAGTTGAACTTGCCTCGGAAAATCGTAATTAGGCATAGGTCCACGCAAGATTGCAAATCGGAGTTTTAGGCAATCAAAGGCTCGCTCGAAAACATTCCTTAATTATGCATGACGATAATTAAGCGGTCCTGTTGGACTACCGCCGGCCCCCTGGTAGCTTTGCAAGTGATACCTATGTTGTCGGTAAGGGGTAAAGAATTGAGGTGCATTATGGTACCCTCATCAGCAAGGTAGTACTTTCCTAAAATATGAGAACTGCAATGTGAGTACACTGATCAAAATTTCATATCCTAAATTGATGACTACAAATTCACAACCTGGTAGAGGAAATGAAAATTCTTGTAACACATCGATAGCATAGGCGAGAACCCTCGCGTCATGCACGCTCCCCTCGAACCCAGCAAGCAAATATACAAAACAAAGATCAAAGTCAACAACCGCCATAAAATTTTGCATTGGGTCACCTTTTCGCCCTCGAAAGCGGGGTTGGTCCGAGGCAGGAACGCATGCATCAATAAGGGTGTCGTCAATCGCACCGACACAATCCTGCATTATGAAGCGATTAGTAATTTAGGACATAACAATTAACAAGTGTCTGAGAAGCGTATAGGAGCAAGAAAAAACCTTGAAGTAGGTGTAAAATTTCATTGATGATGTAATCTTCAGATGCGTATGAGTGACATTGCCTGGACGAATAAATTGTACCCCGATTTGGGTTAGGGCACGTCCAATCATATCCACATGGTGAAACACTATTTCTGTTGAATGTTGGAAGCACTCTGCAGTGACACG